CTTTGTCAGGTTTCAATTGTATACTTTCCCGTGGTGACTCTCCGTCAACCGGGTCGATATTTCTAATCCGTAGTACTCCACTTACTTCTCATGTCCGTCCACCTTACAACCCCCCACTGGACCCGAATGACGATAAAGGCGCTACTACACGAGTAGGCCAAGCAAGATCTCTCCAATAGATCAAACTTATCATGTTATTCTCATGGCTCACCGAGATTCCCGACCAAACCCATGCCGACTCGAGTCCTAAGGTCGGCCTATGAGATTGGACATCCCCCCATGTAACATTTGTGAGTCGAGGAGATTCACTCCAACGACGTATGCAGCCATAGCATATCATTTCATTTAATTCAAGCATTCAATCATTCATCTCATTCAATCAAGTCATTCATAATTTATTCGTTTCATTTCAATCAATTCAATCATGAGTCATTTATTTCAAATGAGAACGAGTGCTGTTAAGTACACACTCGCCTCCATTTTCAAAATCTTCAATCAATTATAACAATTAAACATGTATCAAGTACTCATACACTTGACACTCACCAAGTAAACAAAGGAGAAATTGTCACTCGAAGGGTTCAGGCGTCCACCGTGGGATCTTCTTGAAGGTTCTCTTGTGTGCCTGAGCAAGTAATGACGAACTACTACTTAGAAACCCCAATTATCGAAGAAGATTGTACTAGAGTATAATCTAAGAAAATCTCAAGAAAAATGAACCTTAATTACTCGTAAATCGAGGCTCAAAGGTGGGGTTTTAAAACACAAGAGAAATCTGGTTTTCATCTTTGAAATAAAGTGTAAAACGATCAAGTGATATCAAAGGAAAAGAGAGAGTTTGAAAAACTCCATTTCCTCTAAGTTAGGAATTTTCAGATTTGTTACATGTATTTTGAAAAATCGTATCTCACTCTCTACAAGTCCAAAATTTGAAACTTGGTACCGTTGAAAACTACTTTCAAAGAACTAAAAATTCCTAGAAGACACTTTTCCATGATTCCAAATGAAAGATATTCAAAATTCGGCTCAAAGTTGCTGTTTTGGAATGCCAAGATAGATTTGGGTTGATTTTCTGCAAAGTTTGGAAATTCGGCAAAATTCACACAATGCGAACTAGCCTCTGAAATTCGGAACTCAATTAGAGTTATAATCAAAATTTTCAACACAACAAATGGAATAAGAATTGGAGTTTTGAGCACCAAGATATAACGGCTCAAAGATGCTGAATTTCTCACTGAACAAAGATTTTCCAGGTTTAAAGCTTGAACTTTGGTACTTTAGTTGGCATCGAAATGGACTCGGAATGGTGCCAAATTTGGCAATATTACACTAGCATATAAGGGCTATTCCTTTGCAAATTTTCATGCAAAAATTCACATGGAAAGTCAGTTAACCAAGTCATTAAAACTCCAAGAATTTCCAAGGCAAAACTGCCTTGTAGTTCCGTTTTCCTTTTCCCCAAACGTTTGGCCAACAAAAACATCTCAAATATGACTCATTTGTGTAGAAAATGTCTAAGAAACATCCAAGATACATTTGATAGGTGATTAACACCAAGGATTTCGAATAACAAGTCCCGAATAAAGATTAGCTATAAATTAGTCCAAAATTAGGGTTATCTTTCACGAAGACAGCTCTGTAAACTGGCCACAACTCACTCAATTCAACTCGGAATTGAGCGTGGTCAGTGGATTGAAAACTGCATTCATAAGGCTATACTTTCTTAGAAGAAATTGTTTTAAAATTCTATCCACAACTAGCTCATATTTGAGCATCAAATCGCAGCTCAAAACAGGGCTTCTAGTACAGATGAGAAACAGAACAGGCAAATTTACAAGGTTGGTACGGCTTACTCAGGTGGAATCAGAGCATGCACTTTATACCATTGGAAAACTGGAAATGTCTAGTTTCTATTTCCTTGAACAGCACTCGATTTCGACGTCGGAGCAAAGAGTTATAGCTGTTTGAAAATCACTGCCAGAGCAATACGGGACACAATTCCAGTTTTGGTAAAATTTCGAAATCTCAACATTTGCTCATCCAAATCACGTAATATTTTGTGGAAACTTTCCACACAACCTATATTACACATCTACATCAAAAAAAAGTCAATTAGACCACAAAAAAGTGCACCAAAATGCATGGCAATAGCAGGGCATAAACGGTAAAATTTCCTTTTCACTTCCTTTGAACTTTCTTCCACAATACAACTTATTTTCACTAGATTAAGCACTAATCCAACATAATTAACATAAAATCTCATCAAATCAGTTCATCAAGCCATTGTGAGATTTCATAGAGCCCACTCACAAGATTTTCAACAATATAAAGCTACCCATGTGAATCTATGAGCTCATAAGTGCAAGATAACTTCCATAAACTAAGATTTAAGAGGTTGATCGTTGTTTACCTTAGTAGATGACTAAAGCAGAAAATTTCAGTCCTTGGAAACTAAAGAAAACCGTGAGAAGCAAGCTCTTTTCCTAGCTTAGGTTGATCTCCAAGTGGTTTGCAAGTTGTGTGTAAATTTTGGAGTGATTTGGATGAGATTTGAGTGATGAAATGAAGAAGAATTTTGGTAGCTTTCTTCCTCCTTGTGGCTGGCTGCTATGGTGAGAAAGAGAGAGTATGTTTTGCTGAAATGAAGCTTCCTTGAGAAGCTTAGGTGTGTGGTTCAAATTGCCTCAAAAGTCAACTCTCTCCTCGCGCGCACACGCTCGCGTTTCATGCTCGATTCCTTTCAGGTTTGTTTCACTTGTGCCCTAAACCTTTAATGCACTTCCATTCATACTATTATTATTCACTCTTAATAGTCTAAAAATAAGAGTCTAATATCTCTCAAATAATTGAACGCGAAAACGCATACTTCCGATTTGTGCGCGATAACGCGAAATTTTTAAGGAATTCTTTTAATGATGGTATAACTATCTAGTACTTGAGGACTTAATATATAAAAATAACTATTTTAAAACTAAAGTATAAGTCTTCAATTTCCAAGCTCGTTGTACCTTTGAATCGATTATTATCTCCAAACGCGCATTCACTATTCTCACTAAACGAGCTTTTATAAATTAAATTGGGTAACAAGTCATTTTAAAAATACATATAAGCCATGGTTCCATATAATTGGGTCTAAAAAAGTTGGAATAAAATATTTGAAGTAAACGGCCAAATAAATATTTAAATAAGCCAGTAATAGGAGTTTAAAATAAGTAAATTTGCGGGTCCTTACATGAGTCTAGTATTACTTCCTTAAATCTCCAATAAATTTATATCAGCGCGTCTTTCGAAAAACTAACGATGCGCAAGCGGTATGCGTTTAATTAGAACTCATTCATCTTTAATTCATCAATTAAATTTTCTAAATCTACTATTGATCATTCTTAATTTCCCCAAGATAATTACATTCTCGAATAGAACATCACCTCGAAACACATGTACTCATTATTTCTCACTTAAACGAACCTCCTATAGACACCAAATTTTTAATTTAGTTTTATTTACTATTATTTTTATTTTCATTGATTAAATGTTAATTATTATTCATTTTTAGTCTCTTAGTTTTTGTTTTAAAAGCATTTTTAGTATTTAAATATCAGAAAAAGAAAATTTTCACAAAAAGTTGTTTTAATCATTTTGGATTCAATTTGAAAAATATATATAATTTTCTTTCTTTACGTAAATTAATTTTTTGAAAGAAAAAATATGAAAAAAATAATAAGGAAAAATGTGTGAATATGTGTAAGCTTGCATGTGGGACAAGTGTCCCTTTGTGTCTTTGACAACACAACACTTAGAAGGAGAGGTGTTGGGACACTTGGTTGGCTTAGGTAATTTTGGAGAAATAAAAAATCAAAAAAAAAGAAAAGGGCTATGGCTAGGCTTTTTGAAGGGAGATCTTTTGGGAAAAAAAAAAAACAGGAAGCCTTGTGACAGCCCCACCTTCCCTAAGGCGAACCAAAGGGGTTAGCGGACTGCCTGCCCAACTCTCGCCAGGACTAACGGTGCAGTTTAGAGCGATCTAATACGTTCCGGAACATACAAACGCGCGTAAACAAGTTAAAATGTCCAAGTAAAAAAAATGAAACCGGAGTTGGCCATGAATAGTAACCGACACGTCAAAACCCAACCAAACATCAAGCAAATATTTACAAGTTGAAATTAAGCATATACAGTCGAAAGTGGCATGCAAAAGTTATTCAAAAGTGGATACATGTACGGTTTGCCAAATCAAAAGAGAAATGGATCCAAAAGTACATTTAGGGTTTCAATCAAAGAGCTATATAAAAGATATGTCCATCTAGCTCAATTCGGCAACCAACTATCAAATCCAGTCCAAAAGTATTTATTTTCCTGTAAGGAAAACAAAAGGAATAGAGTGAGCTTACGCCCAGTGAGATAATACCACTCAAGCAGCAAAGTTCACATAAGCATAAAACTTTTCATTCCAATTCATCAAAAGTAAGCAAAGACACACATCAATAGTGGTGATAAAAGGATACGGGCGGCTCTCAAGAGCCCCTTTCCTCGCTTGCCTTCTTGATCGGACCTCATTGACCCTTCGTCAATGTTTAAAAGTAACCAACCGTAGGCTCCACTTTACTTCCATTCCTTCCACCCAACATACCCCTACCAGGCCCGAACTCCAAACAGTAAAATTTGGTAATACTCGAGTATACCGGAATCAAGAGTCTCACTACTATAAGATTCCATATAACAGTCCCCATGGCTCATCGACCTTCACGACCAAGCCCTCGCTGGCTCGATTCAATCGACTACCAATGGGGTTGAGTTCAGTAGTATCAGTAAGGGTCGTTGAACACTCGTCCAAGCGATACCCAATTCATGAATTAAATTCAGTATTTCATGTATCTTTTTTTTTATGGCAAACCCCGTACACGGGGAGGGGATGCCAGCCCCAAATCTTATTGCAAACAAAATAACAAAACTGAGGGAGGGAACAAACCCCCCAAAATTGAAGGTTACAACCAAAACACACCCTAAACCTCTTCAATTAACCAACGAACACCCGGCACTCCACGTGAGTCAAGAATTGTCGAAGCCCGAACTATCGCCGGTAGTTGATGAAACTGATCATACATCCGGGTGCCTCCAGCCCCAATAGCTGCTAGCCTATCCGCAGATGAGTTTGCCTCCCGGAAAATATGTGAGATAGAGGCCGAAAATCCTTCCAGAAGGTCTCTAACTTTCCTCAAAATATTACATAATGGCCACTTAGCAATTACCCCAGAGCCAACCAACTGCACCAAGGTTTTGGAATCCACCTCTACCAATGAAGGACAAAACCCCCGTTGATCACACAACTGCAAACCAAACAGCAAAGCCATACTTTCTGCCTCCAACACATCCTGTTCTCCAAATTCTTTGTAGAAAGCAAAAATCAATTTCCCCTGACTATCACGCAACAGACCACCACCCGAGGCCCTACCACAATTCACGCTGGCGTCTGAGTTGAGTTTAAGCAACCAGTGGCGGTTTCTCCCAGGCAATCGCACAAGGGGTCCTCCTCCGCGGAGAGACCTTAATGAATCTTAGCAACTCACAATCCGCATCCCCCGTAAAGTGCGCCCGACGAAACTTACCTGCCCTCCCGAGCTATTCCAAAAAATAATCCACCTCGCGAAGTATCTTGCCAACCTCCCATCGCATGCCCTGATAGCGCTCCTGGTTCCTGGCTAGCCAAAGGAACCAGCACACTACAATTGGCATGACTGCCCGAATGTGATCCTTCGTAGAGGAAGCTGAAGTAAAGTGCCAAGAGACAAAAACTGACGCCATACTCGAGCAATTACGCAACTGAAAACCAAAACGGCCAGACACTCTCCTCCATACTTCCGAAGCAACCGGTCCAGTTAAAAAAACATGCAAAAGAGCCTCCTCCTCCAGGTAGCAACACCCGCACCGAGAAGGCAAAGCCAAACCCCGACAACGCAACGTCATATCCAAAGGGAGGAAATTACGCACCAGTCTCCAAGCCAAAAAAGACATTTTTGCCGGCAAAACCGAAGGCCAAAGTAGGGAGTCGACAAGAGATCGATGTTTCCTTTGCCGAAGCACCTCCCATGCCAACTTAACCGTGAAGCATCTCGTTGGCGAAGGCAACCAAACCATCATATCCTTCCGAGCTAAATCATGAGGTACTTCTTTGATCGCCTGGACGACAAACCCTGGAACCCACCGGGCAAGACGCGTTTCATCCCATCCATCCCTAGCAATAAACTCCGAGACAATAAAATGAGGTTTCTCAGAGCGATCCACCACACTCTCTAACGGCTCATGAAAAACCCATCTATCCTTCCAAAAATCCACAAGGCCTTCCCCTAAACACCACCTAATGTTCTGTTCAGCCATTTGACGTACGGCTACAAGACGCCTCCAAGTACCTGTAGCCTGCTCTACCGATGCCTCCGATGGATGAACTCCTTTGATGTATTTGGCATGCATGAACTTTGCCCAAATGGACTCTCCAAGCCTAAAATGCCACCATAGTTTAGCCGCAAAAGCCCTTGCCATGTCCTTAAAGGACCGAAAACCCAGACCCCCTTCATCAATGGGAAAGCACATCTTGTCCCAGGAAGACCAATGAATGCGCCTCTCCCCCTTATTATCCCAAAGGAAGGAATTACAAATTTTACCCAACCGTGTGAGTACCGCCTTTGGAGGATTCAACACCTGAAGTAAGTACATAGGTAATGAAGCTAGTACATGCCGCAGTATTTCATGTATCATTCAATCATTACAGTGTAATAGTAGACAGTCATATGAGATACCAAATGGGTGAGGGCGATCAAGTACACCCTCACTTAATCAATTTCAACGGAGCAAATAAGCCTTCAAGGCATCAAGTTCACATATACCAAAGCCACATTATAAACAACAAGTGAGTAGTACACTCACCAGGCAAGCAAGTGAAATTTCATAAACTTTCGCCCAAAGAGCGTCTTTAATCACCGTCACGCCCTAAAATATTCAAACAAGCACAATAAGACTAGATTACAAGTCATAAACCAATTCCAAATACCACCAAATAGGGTTCCATAAGAATGTATAAGCACTAGAGTAAACCAGAAAAGTCCGGAAATGGAATTAAGTTTTAACCCAAAAAACAGTTTTTGACATCATTTTGCGGTTTTGGCACCATTGGCGCTATGATTATCGGATGGAGGTGTAAATACACCATTTCGAAGCTAAGAGATAGGGCTACAAAGTTACAGAAGGCTACTCTGTCCAGTTTCTAGTGTAACCAGGTCAAAAATGCAATATACCACACTAGAACCGCAAAAACAGGTTCACAAACCACATTCCAGTTCAAACATCATAAGTCAGGTTACCTAAGTCCAAATCAGGTGATTCCAAAGCCATCCGAAAGCTAAGATACAAGGCTACAATTCATCACAAGACATCAACAACCAAATCAGAAGCATTCCTACTCAAATTGACCAATCACAGACGCCATTATCAAATTTGGGTAGAAACAGGGCAGCAGGGGTAATTCAGTCTTTTCACAAGCTACGTTGCTCCGATTGACATGCAATTTTGTAAGCATCTCTAAAATATCATTCCCTACAACTTTTATGTTTTAACCCAAGGCCAATTCGGCCTCTAACTATGAGGTACTGTGCCGGGCAAAATGTAAGACAATGAAACCCTACCTTTTCCAATTTTCTTCCAAAACAGAAATTTCCTGCAATTAACCACTTTTTCCACCTTCTAGCTTCCTTAAATATCATTTCCAATCATCATACATGCCCACATAATAATAATCATATGAAAACAGAAAATTCACCAATTCAACCAAAAATCATGAAATAACACCAAAGATCATTACTTCAACTACCTCAAGTCACAAATTAAACATCATTCGGTGGAGGAGAGGGGTTCCTTCACAACTCACCTTAGCAACACAAGAAAGATAGCAACTAGTCACCTTATCTTTCTAAACAATTTCACCAATCACCTCACCAACACTAATTGAAGAGGTTTTATGGAACAAAAGCAAGTTTAAGTGGTTGATTTGGTAGATTTGAGCAAGATTGAACCCAAAATCTTGAAGAGTTTTCTTTCTTTTGTTGCTTGAAGAGGCCAGCTATGAGGAGGAAGAAAATGGTGAATTTTTGGTATTTTTTTTGATTTATTTGGTCAATTGGTAAGAAAATGAATAGTGGTCATAAAGTACAACCAACCAAATGGTGACACTTGTCACCCTATTTAATGCGTACATATCCTTTTGTTCCCTCTCACACCAATCCATATAACAATCTCTAATTATCTCATAGCACCCGATAATTTAACCCCAATATCCAAAACTTAACCTAATTGGCCGAATTTTTTCGAACTTTCCGCACTAGCGGGTCCCACGTCCGGTATACGCTCTTAATTTCTCAAAATCTAACCGATACTACAAAAATCATCTAAAAACTATATTTACTCATAGAAATTATCAGGAAAATTTTTCTAATAAAGAAAATGCAGAAAACATGCCATTAACGAGAAAAATCCTAGAAAAATGAGAAAATTACAGGTTCTCACACTCTCTCCCCCTTAAAAAGAATTTCGTCCTCGAAATTCCTTATCATCCCCCTGCTCCGAACTACTTCCAGGAAATCCTCGCTTCTTCGCCTGGAAGTTTCTCACCTGTAGTGTGAGAACCCGTACTTTCTTCATTTTTCCTAGGCTTTAGTTTTTATTTAATCGCATGCTTTTCTGCATTTTTTTTAGTAGAAAAATTTTCTAGATAATTTTATGAGTTAATATAGTTTTTAGATGATTTTCCTAGTATCGGATAGTTTTTTGAAAAATCAAGAATGTATAACGGACGTGGGACCCGCTAGTGCGGAAATTTCGGAAAAATTCGGTCAGTTAGGTTAAGTTTTGAGTACTGGGTTTAACTTACCGGGTGTTATGAGATATTTAGAGGTACCAAATACATAGGTGTGAGAAAGACAAAAAAAAGTTAGGCATACATTTAATGAAGGTGACATGTGTCACCATATGATTAAATCTTGTTTTGACTTACTATTCAACCTTTTACCAATTACTAAATAAAACCAAAAATTGACCAAAAATCTCCCATTTTTCTTCAAGCTTGGCCGAATCTCTCTCCAAGAAAGAAAGAAAGAAAACCTCTTCAACTTCTTGATTCTCTCTTGCTCAAATTCAAGAACTCAACCATCTAAACTTGTTTTTGTTCCATAGAAACACTTAAGGGAGTGATAGTGAGTTGTTTTGTGGAGTTGTTTGAAAGGCTAAAGTGATTAGTTGCTCTCTCTCTTGTGTTTCTAAGGTAAGTTGAGAAGGACCCCTCTCCTCCCTCTAATGATGCTTAAATCATGATTGGTGGTAGTATAAGATGCACTTTTATGGATTATATCTTGATTTTTGGTTGAATTGATGAAGTTTTATAATTTTTGGGGATTTTTCTGTTTTCATATGAAGACGATTATGTGGTTATGTATGATGATTGGAAATGGTATTTAAGGAAGTTAGAAGGTGGAAAAAGTGGAAAATTGCAAGAAATTTCTGTTTTGGAAGAAAATTGAAAAACTAGGGTTTCCAAGTTCTACATTCTGCCCGGTTTTGTAGCTCATAGTTAGACGCCAAATTGGCCTTGTCTTAAAACATGAAAGTCGTAGGGAATGATATTTTAGAGGTGCCTACAAAATTTCAGGTCAATCGGAGTAGTGTAGCCTGTGAACAGACCAAAATACCCTTGCTGCCCTGGTTTTACCCGAACTTGAGAATTTCTTCTGTAATTGGGTATTTTGGCTGGGAATACTTCTGATTTGGTTTTTGATGCCTTCTGATGAATTTTACCCTTGTATCTTAGCTTTCGGATGGCTTTGGAATCACCTGATTTGGACTTAGGTAGCCTGACTTATGGTAGTTGAACCAGAATGTGGTTGGATAACCTGTTTTTGCGGTTCTGGTTTTGTATTCTGCATTTTTGACCTAGTTGTACTAGAAACTGGACCGAGTGACCTTCTGTAATGTTGTAGACCTATCTCTTAGCTTGGAAACGGTGGGTCTTCTACCTCCATCCGATAACCGTAGTGCCAATGGTGTCAAAACCGTAAAATAACATCAAAAAACTGTTTTCTGGTTTAGAGCTTAATTTCATTTCCGGAAATCTTTCTAGCTTGATTGTTTTATTTATATAACTTTAAGCCTAGTGAATGGCTTTTGGAACTGAGATTATTCTGTATGACATGTTGGGACTGATTTGAGGAAAATAATAAAGCCATTAATGGCTGGAAAATAGGTAAACACAAGGGATATGCTGGCCGAAACTTTACTTGAAGGCTAGTTGGAGTTACTTATGACTTGAGCGAAGGGTTTTTGGGTTGCTCATGCCTTTGATTATATGTGTATTTGGTGTACTGGATTCGTGAAAGTGGAATTATAATTGTTTCACTTTGGTTATTTTAGGGCTTCTTGGTGATTAAAGCTCTATTTTGGACAAAAACTTTTGACGTGTCTGTACTGAAACCGGTGAGTGTACCACTCCCCTCAATTGCTGTTTAACTTGATTTCTGGCCTGCCATCTGTGAGTTAAATGACTGCACTATCTGTTTATTTTGTTTGAGACGAGGGTGTACTTTATCACACTCGTTCTCTTGTCTGTTCATATGCCAATTTTGGTGCGAATCTGAATCTGTATCTGTATCTATCATCTGTATCTGTATCTGTATCTGTATCTGTTCGGACGTCGTTTGGAACTTGTATCCAACGACCTTCTGTGACCTCTGAGCTCAACCCCTGTGGCTAGTTATTCGAGTCGGGCCGGCAAGGGCCTGGTCGATTAGATAACGAACCACAGTAGTTTGTTTTGGGATCTTTGGGTATTGAGACCCTTGATTCCGGGTATACTCGAGTATTACCACTTCTGCTCTGTTCGGCGTGTGGGCCCGATAGGGGTATGTTTGGTGGACGAAATTGGTGTAAAGTGGGGTCTACGGACATGTTGGTTCTATTTACGTTGACGGAGAGTCAACGGGTTCGGATCAAGTACTGCAAATGGAAATCTGGCTCCTGAGAGCCATCTGTATCCTTTAAAGTGTGATGTTCGTTCATTTCTTTTACTTGATGTGGATATGTGACCTATAAATGTTTTCTCATGATTTCTACTGTTCATAGTTTTGGTACCTCATTGAGCTTCTAGCTCACCCCGTCCCGTTATTCTTGTTTTCCTTACAGGAAATCGTCTTTTGGACCAATGATCATTTTGAAGAACGAATTGAGCTTATATAACTACTAGTTTGTATAGCTCCTTGAAAGTTGGAAACCCTAAATGTATTTGAATACAATGGTTCCTTTTGGTTTGTAAACTTACTACTATGTATATATTAATGTGTTTCCTCATGTTGAAGAAAAATTTGTATTTGGGAATGTACATTCTCTCATGTCACATAATGATTGCTTGTACCTGGTTGGATGATGGCGTGGCAGCGGCCCGTCCAATTCGATTTGATTCGTGAAGTTTTCTTTCAGTTTTGATGAAGTTACGAATGAGTCCCGGCGAGAGCTGGGCAGGCGGTCCGCCGAACCTTTTGCTTCGCCTTAGGGTA